TCCAAGTGTTCCCGAGCCAGAACCTGAAATGGATCTGATTGATCCAGAGGAATCATGTGTCTCAGATCCAAGTGTTCCCGAGCCAGAACCTGAAATGGATCTGATTGATCCAGAGGAATCGTGTGTCTCAGATCCAAGTGTTCCCGAGCCAGAACCTGAAATGGATCTGGTTGATCCAGAGAAATCGTGTGTCTCAGACCCAAGCGCTCCTGAGCCAGAACCTGAAGTGACATCAGAGCTTTTAAGGTTGGAAAACTACATCCGTCTAAACGTGTCCCAGCTAGAGGATCGTTTGAGGGAATGTACACTGTCCAAGACTCCTGTCACTGAGGTCTGGCCCAGGGTCTTCATTGGAAATGAGTAAGTAGTCTACTAATAAATACCATGCGTTGAATTAATAATGAATTGCAGGAGTACCAAAGACAATGATATTTCTCTTATTGATTTACAAGCGCTGTCATTTCATTGTAAATCGAAAGACCACCCTAGGCTGTTGTGTTTTTGTGCATAGAGACTGCATGGGACTGAGATAAACTGAAGGAGATGGGAATTACGCATATCCTAAATGCTGCAGCACCCAAGAAGGACCTGAAGTTCTTGTTGGGAATGGCAAGCGAGAAAGACCTACTAGGAACGGTCAATACAGGGTCCAGATATTACAGAGGCATGAACATCACTTACTGTGGCTTGCCTTCATTCAAACACTGGGCCAACATTAGCAAGTACTTCTTGCCAGCAGCCAAATTTATCCATAAGGCCTTGAGGAACCCAACGAGTAAGAGCTGACACACACACACACACACACACTGTTTTTGTAACTGTAACCGTCATTCTGTTCGTCTTTCCTCAGGCAAGGTTTTGACTCACTGCACACAGGGCCTCAGCCACTCGGTGACTCTGTTTCTGGCTTATCTGATGATTTGCCATGACATGCTGGTGGAGGAGGCTATTGATCACATTATAAAGGTGAGATGCATCAAGCCCTATTTCGGCCATCTGAAGCACCTGGCGTTCCTCAATGCCGAACTTGTGCTGCAGCGAAAACTAAAGTTACAGGGCAAAAAAACAGACAAAAAGGTGAAAAAATGGCAGATAAAAACAAAATAGAACACAGATTTTAAAAATGGTGCAGAGATTAAAAAAAGAAAAAATAGAGCACAAATAAATAAAAAAAAGTGGATAGATAAAAAATAGAGCACAGATAAAAAAAAGTGGATAGATAAAAAAATAGAGCACAGATTTAAAAAATGGTGCATAGATTTAAAAAGGAGCATAGATGAAAAAATGGATAGTTAAAAAATAGAGCTCAGATAAAAAGGTAACACTTTATTTCGATAGTCCACTTTAGACATTCTATTAACAGTAAGTAACTTTGCAACTACATGTCATTTCTTTGTCAACTTATTCTACTAACCCTAAACCTACCCTAACAGTCTACTCTGAGAGTTAGTAGACATGTAGTTGCAAATTAATGAGAATTAGTTGACATGTAGTTGACATGTAGTTACAAAGTTACTTATAGTTAGTAGAATGTCTAAAGTGGACTATCGAAATAAAGTGTAACCGATAAGAAAAATAAAACACAGATAAAAAATAGAGCACAAATTAAAAAAGTGCACAAATTTAAAAAATGCACAGATAAAAAAATAGAGCACAAATTAAAACAGTGCACAGATTAAAAAAACCGGTGCACAGATTAAAAAAATAGAGCACAGATTAAAAAATAGAGCACAGATTTTTAAAAAATAGAGCACAAATAAAAAAATGAACAGATTAAAAAAGTGCACAGTTAAAAATATAGTAGGGTTGGGCGATGCCTACAAAACTGGCATCGGACGATGTCTACAGTGAAACATCACCATGGACGATGACATCGGCGGGGGCGAGCGGGGGGGGGGGGGTGGGGGAAACAAAAGGTTTCGGCGCGACAAAACCCCGACAGTAAACTGCTGCCGCGTTCTATTTATGACCTGCTGACACAAATTTCAAATGATTTTCAACGGTCGCTCCAGTGTAGACAGACTTTAGCTGATGCGGCGCTGCGCGACACAACAACTGTCGCGTCCGGTGTAGACACGATGTAAAGGTTGCCTGTTACATTACAGTACATAAAATTTCACTTACCACATAAACCGAGTAAGGAGAGATGACTGAGGACGATGGCGAATGATTTGCAGATCCTCAATACCACTGACAAACATAAAATCAAGAACTGCCATAGTATAAACAGAGTACGTCTGTTCGCAAATCTCGAAAGTGAAACTGATCGTGCATTCAAACGTTTCAATGCCAGGTATAATAGCGGCTCCCTGATGCTGAAATATATATGTAGTATAATTACCCAATTATATAACCGGGAGGAAAAATATTGAAATATATATTTTCCTCCCATCTCGTATTTATTCCCTTTAGGGGGTTCCGCCTACACGTAATTTTCTTTTCGAACACGGTATTGGGATGCGGTGGGGGATCACGATGCCAGCTCAACATCGTGATGTCTATCAGCCATCGGCCCAACCCCTAAAATATAGAGCACAGATTTATATAAAATAGAGCACAGATAAAAATATATTGTTTAAAAACAGGTGCACAAATAAAAATAAATGGCACAGATAAAAATAAAAAAAATATATATATATATGTGTCTGATTTCTGAATTCCCTCATTCTTACGAACAAATACCAAGTTTGTGTAGAAAATAAAACGTGCTTTATTGAGGCTGGACTTGCATTATATATATAATAAGTTTCCTGAATGTTTATTCTTAGTATATATAATCAAAATACAACAAAACCTACCATTACATAGGGATTTCTCTCCACTGTAAATATACTGTAAATATATATTTGCAGTTCTTATACATGTGTATATGCAGTGTTTCTTAATTTATTACTTATGGTATATGTCATAAATTTTGATACCACTGAACTTAATTATTAATAAAATAATTTAAAGTAATTATTAATGAAATATTAAAAATATTACATTTCAAGTTCTATAATGCACTCTAAAATCATAACAATATTGCCACTAATATTACTAGGGCTGGGTAAAAAATATTGATATCTCGATATTAATCGATTCTCATTTTTACGAAACGATATCGATTCCTAAATCCCAAGAATCGATTAGTCTAGCCTGTTTTCAGTTAATGTACGGAGTGTTGAAGGGCACCTCCCATCCAATAAATCACAATAGGCATTGTGCTTTGGTACTTTTCATATGAAACAAAGTCTCAGATTTCAAATTCTGTCCATTGTATTGCAGTATTTAAACAATATATGTCGTTTTGGCGCTGTTTAATGTGGAGTGACTGATCGCTGTAGCGCCTCAGTTCAACAGAAGTGAACTGATCATCTCCTTCACATTATTACTAGTTATAGCACAAAATAAACATGACTAAACATCCGAAGGTAAGTTAATAGAAAGAGTACAACTTTACAATCCGTATCCTGTCTCATGTAATCATTCAATCAGTGTTTCAGCTGCGCAAAGACGCCAATATAACGGCTTGCAAACAATGTCACGTACGTAACGTCACATTTACCTCAGAAAAAAACATATTCGGTGACCATAAACTCATTAGTCAGATAGAAAAATAAACTGTACAGAGGAGCATTTTTTGCTTAATATATGCACCATATAACATATTCATTATAATTTTTACTGTTCTTCAATGTTTAATTTATGTTTGAATAAATCCATCAATGTGAACTGGCCTGTTCCTTCATTTTACTGGTTAAATTTGGTAACAGCCGGCCAGCCTGTGTGGAAGCGGATCCAGTCGAAATAATGCGCCATTTCAAGGGGCAGGCGCATCCAGTGGTGAAAGGTCGAGGGGCAGGCGCATCCAGTGGTGAAAGGTCGAGGGGCAGGCGCATCCAGTGGTGAAAGGTCGAGGGGGGGGCGCATCCAGTGGTGAAAGGTCGAGGGGCAGGCGCATCCAGTGGTGAAAGGTCGAGGGGCAGGCGCATCCAGTGGTGAAAGGTCGAGGGGCAGGCGCATCCAGTGGTGAAAGGTCGAGGGGCAGGCGCATCCAGTGGTGAAAGGTCGAGGGGCAGGCGCATCCATCAGTGAAAGGTCAAGGGGCAGGCGCATCCATCAGTGAAAGGACGAGAGGGGTAGGAACCCAGTGGGGAAGAGTTGGAGGGGCGGGTGCATCCAGAGGAGAAAGGTCGAGGGGCAGGCGCATCCAGTGGCGAAGAGTTTGAGGGGCAGGCAGATCCAGAAGTGAAGGGTCGAGCAGCAGGCGCATCCAGAGGTGACTGGTTTGAGGGGCAGGCGCATCCAGAGGTGAAAGTACGAGGGGCAGGCGCATCCAGTGGTGAAAGGTCGAGGGGCAGGCGCACTCAGTGGTGAAAGGTCGAGGGGCAGGCGCATCCAGTGGTGAAAGGTCAAGGGGCAGGCACATCCATCGGTGAAAGGACGAGAGTGGTAGGCTCATCCATCAGTGAAAGGTCGAGGGGCAGGCGCATTCAGTGGTGAAAGGTCGAGGGGCAGGCGCATCCATCAGTGAAAGGTCAAGGGGCAGGCGCATCCATCAGTGAAAGGACGAGAGGGGTAGGCTCATCCATCAGTGAAAGGTCGAGGGACAGGCGCATTCAGTGGTGAAATGTCGAGGGGCAGGCGCATCCAGTGGTGAAAGGTCAAGGGGCAGGCGCATCCAGAGGTGAAAGGTCGAGGGGCAGGCGCATCTAGTGGTGAAAGGTCGAGGGGCAGGCGCATCTAGTGGTGAAAGGTCGAGGGGCAGGCGCATCTAGTGGTGAAAGGTCGAGGGGCAGGCGCATCCAGTGGGGAAGAGTTTGAGGGGCAGGTGCATCCAGAGGTGAAAGGTCGAGGGGCAGGCGCATCTAGTGGTGAAAGGTCGAGGGGGAGGCTCCTGCCCCAGTGGTGAAAGGACGAGGGGCAGGCGCATCCTTCAGTGAAAGGACGAGAGGGGTAGGCGCATCCAGTGGTGAAGAGTTTGAGGGGCAGGTGCATCCAGAGGTGAAAGGTCGAGGGGCAGGCGCATCCAGGGGGGAAGGGTTTGAGGGGCAGGCGGATCCAGAAGTGAAGGGT